AGGTGTCTCAAGACAACAAATTTCCGAGAGATGATCTGACCAAATCAAGTGATCGGTAAACTGAGATGGACAAGGGGTCCATGAAAGAGTCTAGAAATAAACAATTAAGGCATTGGATTGCCAGAATATGGAGTTAGAGATAACTTATATTCATGAGTATGGTTCTGATGAGAATTATTGGATGGATTCTAAGATTTTCAAAGAGATGGAAAACCTGAAAATAAACAAAAAAATGCAAAATTGTAACAGATTACGATAATAAAAATAAACAAATGTCAAATCACATCAACTAGTTTTGTTTATATATAGATTCATAATCTACAAGATCATATAATCTTTATTTTTGAAAAATTAAAACCCAACTTCTTAAATAGAATACAAAACAGATTCTAAATAAAATACATATATTTCAATTACTCACACAAAGAAATAACAATTAAAATGAAATAGTCAAAGCGCAGAGATTTTAGGTTGACAATTTTGATAAAAATTGCATGGCTTTATAACTTTTTATTATAAAACAAATAATTTTGAAATTGTTTTATTATAATGTTTGAGTTTAAAGCAGTATTTTCATATCCAACCAAGATCCTTCGTCCAAGAGACGATCCATATAGAACCCATATATAACATAGTTAACCCGTATATAGCATATGAAAAGCCTCTTTAATGTAGGTTATAAAATCATTTCTAATTAAAGTATTATGTAAGAGGTTCATGGTCTGTTTACCATCACTTTTAACGGAGACACAATTGGCATTTGTGGCTACGAGGTTGATTTCGGACAATATACTCATCGCTCAGGAGATGGTCATGAATTAAGGACTAATAAGTAATGCCAAAATAAGTTTATGGCCATAAAAAATATATGAGTAAACATACGACATGACGGAATGAGCTTTTATTCAGGATTTACTTCATAAGATGGGGTCTGATCCACAGTGGATCCAACTAATGATGGAATACATATTTTCGGTACAATATAGAATATTGTTAAATGGTCAACAAAGAGGGCACATAATTTCGCAGAGAGAGGTTTGTGTCAGGGTGACCCTTTATCTTCCTACTTATGCATCATGTGTACAAATGCATTGATCGCAAATATTAAAAAGGTTGAGAGAGATAAAAAAACTAACATGAATGAAGGTTGCCAAGCATGTCCTTCAATATCTCATCTGTCATTCGCAGATGATAGTCTATTTTTTTGTAAGGCACAAAAAGAGGAATGTCGACACATCCTCAAAATTTTGAAGGAGTATGAGATAGCATTAGGTTAAATGATAAATTTCCAAATATCTTCTAATCAATTCGGACATAAGATTGAGGAGACCTCGCAACAAGGCAAGAACGAACAATACGGAATTGCTCATCCAGATCGAAGAGAAACTGATGCACCTTGTCATCCTCACGATCTGATTCATGAGCTATTCCAAGATCACTAGTGAACTGACCACACTTGCAGATTCGCAGCAGACGGTATGTCGCCAAGCTGTCCCAGATCCTTTTCAATTTTGAAAATAGGACTCGATCAACAGCCCTCTTTTCTTGCAACATGCAAGTTTGGATTTGATTTGCTGAATTTGAGCCCCTTTCATCACTGAAAAACGCTTCTCAAGTGATCCCAAAGATCCTTTGCAACATCGTGATGTGAGATGCTTGACCTCAGGATCGGATCAATAGTCATCTTGATCCAAGACACAAGCAGTGCTTGAATCATCCACCAATTTTCAAGATCAAAAGAATCTTCACCTGGTTTCGCAATTGTTCCATCTAGAAACCCAAATTTCTTTCGTGATGTCAACGTTGTTTTCATTCCGCACACCCATTCTGCATAATTGGTTCCCTTCAAAAATGGATGTGAGATCAAGGCACCTGGATTGCCAGCTGAGGTCAGGTCATAAGTCGAGATTGTCCTTCTCACTTCCGTCGTTCCTGCTGCCCCAGCAGTTGTGGTCGGTTTCAGCTTTATCAAATTCAAAAAAATTCGAAAATGAAAGTTTCAGGCTCTGATGCCATAAAGACTGTTGGAATTGGGTGTTATAATGAAGGTAAACTGACAGTTACATATATATACAGCTAGCTCAGAATATCAAAGAATATCTACGTACAGCTAGAGCTCTGTTACAGCAGTTTAAGATTCCTAAAATATAGAACAAGTAGCTATACAAATTTTATCCAAACAGTTTGATGATGAACTATGATGAACCGGTGGTTAACCAACTCCAATAGATGAAGACAAAGATTTAGGGATTTAGGATAGTTTTTTTTTTGCTTAGATTTTGGTTTTATGTAAATTTGCTTTACCCATTTAAAAATGAATCATAATTCGGTTTAATTTCATTTATAGTTTGTTATAAATTTTTGGTAAGGACTAAACAAATTTAATTACGGTTTATGTGGGCTTGATTTTAAACTTAAAGATCATGTATAAATATGTTTTGAACTTTCAAATGGTGGAAATATATGTTTTTAAATTAAATAGATGGGAAATTAGGATAAGGGTGAAACATTGTGTAGAAAAGTTACTATATAATACTTCTGAGTGGGAAATAGATCGCTTACCTTAAGCTATTATAATCACTACTATTTTTTTGTATTATCATCCTCTTATTTTTTTGTAGGTTTTATTCAGGTTTTAAGTAATATATTAATCTGAGTATCCTTTAACAGATATTCAGATTAAATATATATATATATTATTAAACTATATACCAAATAAAAATATAAAATATGTTAATTGCGAATTTGCATTGGAAAGGTATTGAGACATAGAAATTTTAATTTTGAAATTTGCATTGAACTTTTAATAACAATTAAAAATCTCAAATTGAAAATTTTGTAATTAATTGTTTAATTTTTTTGTTACAGCAAATATATAAATATTAATAATCATATAAATATAAATTAGGAAGAATATTCATATTAAAATATACTATATATATATATGTTAATATCATTTAAGTTTAATTATATGCCATATAAAATAAATAAAATGATTTTTTAACTTATTTATTTTAATTTACGTGTTTAATTTTAATTAAATACATAATATTTACTTGTTTATCAATTATTTAATATATTTATTATTTTAAAAAATGTAAATGAACATAAAATAAACTAGTACTATTTTAAAATAATTTGTATTCATAATGTTTATTATCTGTAGTGGGCAACTCCTTTTTCGTATAGATCATTTATTCAAACAATAAAAGATTATACCAAAATATCAAAATAAATATCATAGATGTAGAGCCGAAATGTTAATTGAAATTTTCATAAGATGCTTGTACTTTTCTATTTTCGTTTTAGTTGATCAAAATTATCTTCTAAAACTGGTTGGTTACTAATATTAAACCCTTTTGTTGATATTTATATAGAAAGATTTGTATATTTTTGTTGTTGAAAATATTGTGTTTTGTATGTGAATAGATGTCATACTTATATTTTTTTAAATGAAATGTCTATACATTATTTATAAAATCAAATAAATATATTTAAAGTTAGCGTTTGTAACAAAATCATTTAATAGTGAAAAAAATATATTAACACTATCAGATGTTAGCGGGATGAGATCTGCATGCAGATATCTCGTTTTTTTTTCGTCAAGTAGATATATTAATAAAAGAGAGACAAGCCCAATCGAGCCCAAACAACAAACATGAAACCCAACATAATCAGGCCAATACAGAGAACCACATTTGTTGGGCCTAAAGCCCAATCACCCAAAAACCCTAGTTACTGGAAGATCTAGCCTACACGCCATCGACGGCGGTGCCAAGGTCTCACCAGAGATACAATCCAATCTTCACCATCAGGAACCATTCATCGGAGAGCCTCCATCGAGCATGTCGAGATCTCATCCTAATCCCATAACCTCCATCGAGCATGTTGAGATCTCATCATAATCCCATAACCTCCACACCATTAGATCTCATCCTAATCTCGACCAACACTGTACAAACAAAGCTAAAACCAAACCTTAAAAAACAAATCTAAAATACAGCGAAGGACGACACAAAGCACAAAACATTTTCACAACTTTGAAACCAAAGCCGGCGACGGTGGAACTGTAGAAGCCTCCACCTCCCGGAGTCTTAGCCGGCGACGCGGAGCTGAGGAAGCCTCCACCCCCCGGAAGCTTAAACGGTGACGACTGAGCTAACAGAGCCTCCGCTCCCGGAACAAATCCTAAACTTAGCAAAAGATTTTTCACAACAAACTGTCGTCTTCTTTCCTCACCGCGAATCCAGAGAAAGAGGTGTTACCTCCGTTTGAGACTACATAAACAGAGCTCATCCCGGAGTAAAACCCTGGCCCAGATCCGTAAGTATTTTGGAAAGAAACCACAGCTCGAAACACACAGGAAAATGACTAGACAAGAAAACCAAAGAAAGAAGCCATTGGCGCCGGCACACGCTCGGACGCGCCGCCGGACGTCGTGACTTCTTTACACGCGTTTCTCTCTCTCGTTTGCTCTAAGCGTTTATGTGTATAATGTCTATATTAACGTTCATTAGTTGCAGATATCTCGTTTGAACTGTTTTTATAACATAAAAAGATTAATGGTAAAAGCACTTGTCCCATTCTTAGGGTGTGACTGGTAATAAGTGGCGTAAGGGAGAGTAATAAAAATAGCAAAAATAAGAGTAATAAAAGAAGATGAAAGAGAGTGAATAGTAGAAAGTGGAAAACGAAAAAGTAAAATAAAATAAATGTTTACTCTCATCAAAACAACATGGATAATTTATATTGTTTTCTGCTCTATTCAGCTGAAAAACTTTTCTGCTCTATTTATCATGATTGGTAATTATTGAGCTGAAGATGGAGTAAAATACTTTTACTCTAAAATATTTACTCTAAACAGGTCATCGAGTCACACTCTTAATATATGAGCGTTTTTTTTTTTTTTTTTTTTGAGCGTATATTTTTGTTTATGTAATAATTTACATTTTTGGAAGTTGTGGATATTGATTTTGTAAAAGACAATTTCTTCTTCAAAAAAGTGATAAAATACTTGTTCGATCTGGTTTTAAAACATTTCCTTCCCAAGGGAGCGAGAATCGAAGCTCCACCGATCGAATCCATTTGTTGCGTCAATGGCGACAAGGTTTCTTCATCGACAACGTTTGGAGAAAGGTGATTCCTTTAGCCGTCTTTTGAGCCTCTCTCTCTGGTTTCGAGCTTTCTGCGATTACCGAGGAGCCATTTCGAGAAACAGTCTTCCCTTCAGCGAAGCTCTGGATCTCTTCACTCGCATGGCCGAGTCTCGTCCCCTTCCTTCCATCATCGATTTCACGAAGCTGCTAACCGCTATTTCCAAATCCAAGAGATTCCATGTCGTCATCACTCTCTGCAACCATCTCGAGACGTTAGGGATTTCACACGATATCTATACCTGCAATCTCCTAATCAACTGTCTCTCCCAATCTCCTCAACCTCATCTCGCTTCCTCGTTTCTTGGGAAGATGATGAAACTCGGCTTTAGCCCTGACATCGTCACTTTTACATCTCTCGTCCATGGATTCTGCATCAGGAATAGACCCGACGATGCCATGTATATCGTTAATCAGATGGGAAGAATCGAACCTGATGTTGTAATGTACACTACACTCATTGAGAGTCTTTGCAGAAACGGTCTTGTGGATAAGGCCATGAGCATGTTCGACCAAATGGAGGTGAAACCTGATGCTGTCACCTACACGTCTCTCGTGAACGGTCTTTGTAACTCTGGTAGGTTTGATGATGCTGTTACGCTACTGAACGATATGATGAGAAGGAGAATTAACCCTGATGTTATCACTTTCAATGCGTTGATCGATGGGTTTGTGAAGAAAGGGAAGCTTTTGGAGGCTAGAGAGCTGTACAGTGAGATGACTCGAGTCTCTGTAGCTCCTGATGTCTTCACTTACACTTCCTTGATCAACGGGCTTTGCATGGAAGGTCGTGTCGATGAGGCCAAGGAGATGTTTTATTCTATGGAGTGCTTTCCAGATGTTGTGGCTTATACTAGTCTCATAAACGGTTTCTGCAAATCGAGAAAGGTAGAGTATGGGATGAAACTCTTCTACGAGATGACTCACAGAGGTTTACTTGGTAACACCATCACTTACACCACTCTTATCCAAGGTTTCTGTCAAGTGGGTAAACATAAAGCCGCACAAGAGTTTTTTTGTCAGATGGTTTCTCGTGGGGTGTCTCCCAATATTAGGACCTACAACGTTTTGTTGCATGGACTGTGTTTGAATGGGAAGCTAGATAAAGCGTTGTTGATATTTGAAGATATACAAAAGAGAGAGATTGATGTTAATATTGTTACGTATACTATAATCATCCAAGGGATGTGCAAAGCTGGTAAACTCAAAGATGCTGTTGATTTGTTTTGTAGCCTCCCTTCCAAAGGGATGAAGCCTAACGTTGTAACATACAGTACAATGATATCAGGGCTGTTTAGGGAAGGGTTAAAGCTTGAAGCTCATGTGTTGTTTAGGAAAATGAAAGAAGATGGGGTTGTTTCACCAAATTAGTTGAAACACCATAGGTGAAGCGATGATTGCTTCTTCTGTTCACAGAATGTGATGGTGCAGAGCAGTTACAGTTTCTAATGGGATATATGATGTAACTTTCATAAGCACATGTTGCCTATGTGTGTGTAGGATGATGATTCACATTTGTATCTTTGATGTGCCTCTAAAAGAAAGGATATGGATGCAGCTTATAAGGTTTCCAAGGGGAGCATCAGAAAGACTTCCGTAGAGATGAAGTTTATACACTTAGCTTATTACTAGTAATTACATAGTTGTTGTGAAGCAACCAGGAATTGTTTATACATACAGTGAGGAGAGGATGTGATAGCCGAGAGGATGTAGGCTCATTTAGAAAAGTGCATACATAGATTGATTTATTTTCATGGGTTTTTAGTAATAAAACCCCTCAACTAAAGATGGATCGTAAAAAAAAAAACTTCAACTAAAAATTTAGTGAAATAAACCCTCAACTTTAGTTGCGTTAATGTATGTCACCCTCCGTCACGGAATTTTAGACGGAGGGTGACATATGTTAACAGAACTAAAGTTGAGGGTTTATTTCATTAAATCTTTAGTTGAGAGTTTTTTTACGATTCATCTTTAGTTGAGGGGTTTTACTACTAAATGCGGTTAAATATTTTAAAATATTTGTTATCATTTATTTATTATTTAAGAATCTTACAATTGATTTATAAACATTGAAAATAATTTATAATTTTTATATATTACTTTATCAAATTTTTAACCTATTTATAAAGCTTAGTAAATATTTTAATATTTTTATAAACTATTAATAAGGTTTAGCGAAGCTTTTGTCTGCTATTTCTTAGGATGAAATAATACATGACTTTTTTTTTATATTATGAAGTAAAGCGATAAAACTTTATAAAGGAAGAAACACATACAATTTTCTTATATTAATACTGTCAAATCAAATACTTAAGATTTCTAAGTTATATAAAATTGTAGGCAGTGTTGAGGATATTTAATTAGTTTTAAAATTTAACATTGTTACTTAAAATATGGTAAGGACTTTTTTTCTCCTCTTTAAACAATTTCAATTTGATTCGTACTTTTTTCTATTTCACAAGAAATAATGTAGGATTGTTTTTCTTCTTTTTAATTTCTGAACCAGTATGTTATACTCCCACCATTTTAATCAATAAGGTTTTCTTGTTTTATTTATTTACTTCATGTTTTTGTAGTATGACGAATAATCACATCTCTAATCTTATAAAATCATCATTAAACTTTAATAATAATTTATAAAAATATTAAATGAGAAAACTTTATAAATAGGTTATAAAATTGATAAAGTAATATATAAAAAATATAAATTATTTTCAAGGTTTATAAATCAGTTTTAAGATTCATAAATAATGAATAAATGACAATAAAGATTTTAAAATATTTAACCGTATTTATTAATAAAACCCCTCAACTAAAGATGGATCGTAACAAAAACCCTCAACTAAAGATTTAGTGAAATACACTACAAGAAAACTAAGCATTTACTAGGAAACTTTACTAGGAAAATAATTCCTCGTAAAATTACTACGAGTTTACTTCGAGTTTACGAGGAAACCATGTTTCCTCGTAAGGTTCTCGTATACTTACGAGAAAACAGTTTCCTCGTAAAGTCGTAGTAACATTACTAGGACTTTACGAGGAAAAAAACGCGGGCATAGCNAAACAGTTTCCTCGTAAAGTCGTAGTAACATTACTAGGACTTTACGAGGAAAAAAACGCGGGCATAGCTATTTCCTAGTAAAGCAGTTTCCTCGTAAAGTCCTAGTAATTGCTTACTACGAAATTAAGAGGAATGAGTTTTGTTACTACGAAATTAAGAGGAACTAGATAGAAAATATCGAATTTAAAATTTGTACCTATTTTTCCTAGCAATTTCCTAGTAAATTCTCAGATTCGAAAATTTCTATAAATACCACCATATGTGATTCATTTGAAACACACCAAACAAATAGAAAATACTCAATTCATAACTGAAAGGAGTTCACAGTCAACATAATAGTTTCTTATCAACTCCTCATAGCTTTTCCTCAAAGAAATAGCTTGGGGCTTTTTTTCAGGTAGATAGTTCGAGGAAAGCTATGTGGGGTTGATGAAAACCGTTCCGATGACTGTATACTTCTTTTAGTTTTTTTAAAAAAAATTGTGATTTGGGGTTTATGAAGATGTAGGTATAAGTTATGGAAGTTGGTTTAGGTTTAGGGTTTAGGTTTAAGGTTAGGGTTTAGGGAATTTAGATTAGGTGGTTAGTTTAGGGAACTTATATTAGGTTGTTTAGTTTTGAAAATTTGGGGTTTAGGTGTAGAAGAGGTTAGGAGTTTGGTTGTAGAAGAGGTTATAAGTTAAGGAAGTTGTGGTTTNTTTAAGGTTAGGGTTTAGGGAATTTAGATTAGGTGGTTAGTTTAGGGAACTTATATTAGGTTGTTTAGTTTTGAAAATTTGGGGTTTAGGTGTAGAAGAGGTTAGGAGTTTGGTTGTAGAAGAGGTTATAAGTTAAGGAAGTTGTGGTTTGGGGTTTGGGGTTTCGAGTTTAGGGATTTACAAACCCTTTCCTCGTAAAGCCCTAGTAAGAGAAAACGCGGGCAAAGTTGTTTCCTCGTAAAGTCCTAGTAATAACATTACTAGGACTTTACGAGGAAAAAAACGCGGGCATAGCTATTTCCTAGTAAAGCAGTTTCCTTGTAAAGTCCTAGTAATGGTATTACTAGGACTTTACGAGGAAATAAAAACACGGGCATAGCTATTTCCTCGTAAAGGCCTAGTAATGTTACTAGGGCCTTACGAGGAAACAAAAATCCTTATATAAACTCGAGCAATCCGATTTCTCATTTGTAGTAAGCTTCTCTCTGAATTCTCTTAAGGTTCTCTCTATTTCCTACTTAGGTGGTTAGATTAGAGAATTTAGATTAGGTGGTTAGATTAGGGAATTTAGATTAGGTGGTTATTTTAGGGAATTTAGATTAGGTTGATTTAATTTTTTTTACTGTTTTTTAAAAATGATACTAGTATATTAATGATACTAGTTGTCGTGCCGGGATGACGACTTCGTTCGTCAATTTAACGAGCAACATCCGTAGATTAGTTTTTTTTCTCTTTAATTGTATATGAATTTAAACTTAAATATTTAGTTATTTATAAAATATTTTGTTATTTCTTTTTTATTTATAATTTGGATTCTTTAATTTTTTTAAATATAATATTTATATTTATTTTAATTATTTTTTTAATAGGCAAAAATATTTCAAAGTAAATTCCTAGTAAAGCATTACTAGGAAATTACGAGGAAAGTGGAAAAATATTTCGAAGTAAATTCCTAGTAAAGCATTACTAGGAAATTACGAGGAAAGTGGTTACTAGGAAATTACGAGGAAAGTGGTTATTACGACTTTACGAGGAAAAAGGCTTTACGATGAACGTGTTTTGACGAAACGCGTTTCCTCGTAAGTTCCTAGTAAAAGGCCATTTACTAGGAACTAACGAGGAAAACCTGCCCTAGTAATGGACGAGTTTTCTTGTAGTGATAAACCCTCAACTTTAGTTCTGTTAACGTATGTCACCCTCCGTTTAAAATTCTGTGACGGAGGGTGACTAACATTAACGGAACTAAAATTGCGGGTTTTTTCACTAAATTTTTAATTGAGGATTTTTTTACGATATATCTTTAGTTGAGGAGTTTTATTACTAAAAACCCTATTTTCATTTCTATTCTTTTGGCACCTTGTAATTGAAGGAGTCTTTCTTGAGACCGAGACATATATGTGTTTCTTGGGGGAAAAAAAATAAGAAAAAGTTATATTCTACAAAAACGTTTTGAACATTCGAACACAGGACCTGCTGACTATTATATGTCTCCGGCGGCTTCTGATACTTGAGGTTACTAAAACGACGTCGTCATTGAAACGTTCAAAACCTTATAAGAGCTTTCCATCGTCGCAAAAGGTCGTTATCTCTTCCGTCGTTCATCCTCTTCAATGGCGCTGAAATTTCATGAACAGATCATATCAGACCTTCTGGAAGACTCTAACGGCGGACTAGTAATCCTCTCTTCCGGTCTCTCCCTCGCTAAATTAATCTCTTCTCTCCTCATCCTTCACACACCATCCCAAGGAACCTTACTCCTCCTCCTCTCCCCCGCCTCCCAATCCCTCAAATCAAGAATCCTCAACCAACTCTCCTCCCCTCCCCCTCCGGAGATAACCTCCGACCTCCCCGCGAACCACCGTCACTCCCTCTACTCCTCCGGGAACCCTTTCTTCATCACGCCGCGGATCCTAATCGTCGATCTCCTCACGCAACGCATCCCAGTCTCCTCCCTCGCCGGAATCTTCATCCTCAACGCCCACTCCCTCTCCGAAACCTCCACCGAAGCCTTCATCGTCCGAATCGTCAAAACCCTCAACCCCTCCGCCTACGTGCGCGCCTTCTCCGATAGACCGCAGGCCATGGTCTCCGGTTTCGCCAAGACGGAGCGCACCATGCGTGCTCTCTTCCTCCGCAGGCTCCATCTATGGCCTCGGTTTCAGTTGGATGTGTCTCAGGAGCTTGAGAGGGAGCCCCCTGAGGTCGTGGACGTTAGGGTTCCGATGACGAGTTACATGGTGGGGATACAGAAGGCGATCGTTGAGGTCATGGACGCTTGTCTCAAGGAGATGAGGAAGACGAATAAGGTTGATGTGGATGATTTGACTGTGGAGAGTGGTTTGTTTAAGTCATTTGATGAGATTGTGAGGAGGCAGCTTGATCCCATTTGGCATACTCTGGGGAAGAGGACTAAGCAGCTTGTTTCTGATTTGAAGACTTTGAGGAAGTTGCTTGATTATCTTGTTAGGTAATTAAGTATTTATCTTTATTTTTATTTCCAACGGATTGTTTGCTTCAGTTTGGGTGTTTCTGTGTAGGTATGATGCTGTGAGTTTTCTCAAGTTTTTGGATACGCTCAGGGTTGCCGAGAGCTATCGATCTGTTTGGTTATTTGCAGAGTCCAGCTATAAGATTTTTGATTTTGCTAAGAAACGAGTGTATCGTCTCATCAAGGCAAGTGAGGTTAAGAATACTAGTGGTAAAAAGAGAAAGTTTAAGGGTGTTAATGCCTCTGTAGAAGCAGGTATTAATAAATAGTGACTCTCATGTTGTATGTTGATTTTATTTATTTTTTGTGTAGTCTAGAGTATATGTTGATCTACATGGTGATTCTCATGATGTATGTAGTTTTATATTTTTTTTTGCTAATAGTAGATTGACCTTAATTAGTTGGTGGTGCAACGGCTACGAATGGGGATACTGGCGTTGTTATTGAAGAAGTTCTGGAAGAGGCACCCAAATGGAAAGTCTTACGTGTGAGTGTCTGAGTGAGTTTCAGTTTCAATGCCATTTCTATGTTAGGATTGATTTGATGATGGAATTTGCTTCAGCGAGTGACAATATTTGTTCATTTTGTTGTCTGCCTTTTTGATTTGGCTGCCACACCACTTAATGGCGTTTCCATGATTGATACAGGAGATTTTATTAGAGATACAAGAAGAAAGAGAAAAACAGACTCTTTCTGAGGAAGACGACAGTGACAACAATGGTATAGTTCTTGTGGCTTGCAAGGATGAACGCTCCTGCATGCAGCTTGAAGATTGCATCGCAAACAATCCACAGAAGGTATAGTCACTTTATGTCATGCATTGACAACTGAGAAATACACTGTCCCCTACTTTACGCAAATCCATTGTCTTTGCTGTGTAGGTAATGCGGGAAGAGTGGGAAATGTACCTGCTGAGCAAAATTGAGATCCGCAATGTGCAGACACCGCAAAAGAAGAAACAAAAGACTCCCAAGGGTTTTGGGATTCTTGACGGAGTAGTTCCTGTAACTACAATACAGAGCTCGGAGGGTAGCAGTGTTTGCAGACAAGAGCATGAGGCTCTTATGGCTGCTGCGTCCTCTATCCGTAAGCTAGGGAAGACAACTGCTTCAGGAAGTACTAATCCAGAGGCTCAAGTTGATAAGGCTTCCAGTACCAAAGGAAAGGCTAAAAAGGAATCATCAAATCTTCGGAGACCCATAAGAAGTTGCAGTAAGAAAAAGACGAACAGGGAACCTGAAATAGTAACAGGCTCAGAAAATGAAGAACAAGTTAGTGAAGCGAGCACATCAGCCCCTCGAGAAGCCAGTGATGTTCCTCCAAACGGTGCTAAGAAGCTACCGCCTGTGCATTTTTATGCCTTAGAAAGCGATCAACCTATACTAGATGTCTTGAAACCGTCTGTGATCATTGTCTACCATCCTGACATGGGTTTCGTCAGAGAAATTGAGGTGTACAAAGCAGAGAACCTTCTGAAAAAACTGAAAGTCTATTTTCTTTTCTATGATGAATCCACAGAAGTGCAGAAGTTCGAAGCAAGCATACGCCGGGAAAATGGAGCCTTTGAATCATTGATCAGGCTGAAGTCTTCGATGATGATTCCTGTGGACCAGGTTTATATCTCAAATTTCAACATTTGATTTTATATCAGATTGAATCAGACCAATTAGATTAAACTCTAAACCGGAATTTACATTGTCCTCTTGTTACCTTTCCTGTTTTCTCCTTATCCATCATATGCTATGACTTGGAATCAGGATGGGCTTTGCATGGGGTCGAACTCATCTACTGATTATCCAGCTTCAAGTACTCAAAACTCATTAACCCGTAAAGCAGGTGGAAGAAAGGAAATCGAAAAAGAAACACAGGTTCATATTTCACTACTTACCTGATTTCTAAGACCAACCCGACTCCTTTTACTTAAATTTTAATGGCTTATTCAACAGGTAATAGTTGACATGAGGGAGTTCATGAGCAGCCTACCAAACGTTCTTCACCAGAAAGGCATGAAGATAATACCTGTTACACTAGAGGTCGGCGACTATATCCTCTCTCCTTCAATATGCGTGGAGAGAAAAAGCATTCAAGATCTCTTCCAAAGCTTCACATCAGGTCGTTTGTTTCACCAAGTCGAAATGATGTCAAGGTATTACAGAATACCCGTTCTTCTCATCGAGTTCTCTCAAGACAAAAGCTTCTCTTTTCAGGTTACCCTCTCACATTCCTATCTTCATGTTTTTGATGCGTCTCTCATCTTTATGTTTCCTTTTTCTCGTATATATGACATGTTTTGATTTGTTATTCATTGAGTTGAATCAGTTCTGAAAGATTACAACTTTGGTTCTTTTTATTTCATGTTTGTTTGCAGTCTGCTAGTGATATATCAGATGATGTGACACCATATAACATCATATCAAAACTATCATTACTGGTTCTGCATTTTCCTCGGTTACGGATACTGTGGTCTCGAAGTCTACATGCGACTGCAGAGATCTTCACCACCTTAAAATCAAACCAAGACGAGCCCGATGAAACCCGGGCAATAAGAGTTGGTGTGCCTTCAGAAGAGGGTATCATAGAAAATGACATCAGGTAACATCATAAATCTTTGTTTTCTAAACTGCAAAAAATCAGTTTTTGATTTACATTTGGCAAAATGACTCATCATGTGAACAGAGCTGAGAACTATAACACATCAGCAGTAGAGTTTCTTAGAAGGCTTCCGGGAGTTTCAGACGCTAATTACAGATCGATAATGGAGAAATGTAAAAGTTTGTCTGAGCTTGCTTCTTTGCCTGTGGAGGAATTAGCAGAAATCATGGGTGGTCACAAAGTTGCTAAGAGTCTCAGAGAGTTTCTTGACGCCAAGTATCCGACGTTGCTTTAAGAGAAGGTAACAACTAAACTAATTTAGAAGATCTCCATCACACAAAGCTGCTTACTTATTTCTTGTTCATTTGTTGTAGACTTAGAATAGTATCCATTGATTATTTTATGGGTTTTGATTATTGTTCTGTTGTAAACAATTACATTAGTGAGCATACTCTTGACTTTAAAGATGAAAGTCTAGTGAAAATATAAATATGCTTACATTATTTGAGTCTGCTTAGTTGGCAGCTCAGCTATAAAATATCTTTGAAGATACGTGCCTAACCCATCTCTTACAATTCGGGGAGTCAAAGAAAACAATTCGAAACAAAAGGCATATATATGTGGATCAAAGAAGATAAGATTCTTATGAAAATGTGAGAAAGATGAGTCAGTGACATGAAACGCATAAACGGGTTTGGATTTGAGAATCTGAACTCATAAAAGGAGAACAGAAACCTGCATGTGGGAAGAGTGGTGAGTTGAAGTATGGAGATTTGTTGTGTCTCAAGATCAGGATTCTCACATAATTAACTTCTTGGAGAAATTTAGTTCCAATTGTTTCAGACTTCTCAGTGGCTGAGCATGACCATATAAAAATGAATTGAATCATAGTGGGGAGTCCCTATGATGTTTCGCTCTACGCAGCTTGGAAACCTCGGCGAAACTGGACACAGGTGAAGACGTTCATGTGACTGAATATCTAATCTACAAAGGCAGAAACTTCTCCAAGGGTGAAAGGTGTTGCGAGTGTTTGGTAATGATGTAAAAGAGACGAACATCCCTCTGTCCCAAGTATGGAAATACTACGTACTGGCGTTAAGTATTTACTGTCACTATATATAGAGCCTAAACATTAGTCCCTTGAATTGGAATTGGAATACATTTGAAATATTATACAACGCGTTCATCATTATAAATACACCCATTAAAAAGTCAAAAATTCACACTTTTCTTTCTCTCTTTTTTTTTTAAACACACACTTTGCATTCTCTCAGACAACAAAATTTATACTACATATAATATGAAACAAAACCAGGAAAGTATATTTATATATTGAATGAAGATAAATTTGTACAACCATGTAAATACCATCTGGTCCTGAGAGTACTAATTTTTAACTCCTCTTGGCATTCTTGAGATTACGTACAGTCATAACAAGTCGTTGTCTCTCACCTTCAACTTCTGCAAATCTTACACTTATATCTGAATACCTCTCTTGCATCTCCTTCAACTCCATCTCCATCACTCCATTTTGCTCTTTTAGCGAAGCTACTTCATTTACCAAATCTTCAAGGACATCACTGTAAAATAAAATAAAACAGAACCATCAGAAATGATCGGTAGTTTCTTCGGTTTGTATTGGTTCATGAACATACCTTTTGCTCGATGACAGTCCTTCCCTGTTTTGCAAAGCAACAGCTGCTTCTGGACCATGCAGAGATTCACCAGTCTGTTCATAAAACCAGAGTTATGTTCTACTGTTTTGATGGTATTAGGAATGCAATTTTAATTCTTTTAAAAGGTTAGTTCTCTTTACCTCTATGCTGTTCAGACTTCGTTTGTTGAGTTTAGTCTCCACTTCTTCGATTCGGCTATTCAATTCCTTTTCCTTTTCGATAAACATCTTTGAAGAGGCTTCTAAAGCATCTTCCTTCAGCTTGATGTGTTCCTGGATTACACATGTTTTGACATCAGCATCAAAACATTTAGCACGTAATGAATGTGCTAGTGTTAAACGCATACCTCGAGCAGTATTATTCTTTCCTTGTCGCTTCTGTGCTGCTCGATCTCTGATTCACTCTTGGATAAAGAGTGCTTTAGATCATCACATAGCGCTCTTGCCCTATCTAGGTCTGATTTTAAAATGATAATGACTGCTTCTTTTTCATCTTTGATACGCTGCATTTCCTGCAGCTCCACTGCTAAAAACTCTGATTCTTTTTTCATCGATGCAATCGTACTTGATAGCTCATCTTTCGTTCCTTCCAATTCAACTCTCAAGATCTCAATCTCATCCTTCAGCCTTGTGATCTCCTGTATTAAATCTGCACTGGCATCTTCTTGCTTCCTCTTCTCATTCTCTAAAATTTTGGATTTCTCCACAAGTCCTTCCAACATTCTCTCCATCCCGTTGAACTTAGCTTCATACTCTATCTTACTTGCTCGGAGTTCATCGTTAGCGTTCATGAGAAGGTCTTCTAGCTGACGCTTCTGCATGCGAAGGTCACGAGTTTCTGCAATTGCTTTCTTAGTCATTTTCTCATTTGCTGCCAACGTATAAGACATCTGGTCAGAGATTCTCTTGAACTCATCCTGTATTTTCCCGGCTACACTAGCGTTTTTCCACCTCGACTTCCTCAGGGCTTCTTCCGCTTCGATAGCTCTTTGCTCTTGCTCCACTTTAGCACGTGTGACAGCTTCGATATCTGCCTCAAATATCTGAGCCTGTTTCTCTAGTTCTTCCTCCATCTGCGTTTCAAGTTCTTTAATGCGGCATAGAGACTTTGAGAAATCCTCTGACTGATTCTTCAGCTTAGCTTCTAGGCTCTCTATTTGATTCTCAAGCTCGCTCACGTTTACAATAGAAGGTGAGCATTCATATTGCATCTTCAGCTGTTCATGCACTTGACTTTGCTCTAGCTTGTACGACATATCGTGGTTTTCTTGCTTAAGTATCTCGTAATCGAGAGCAAGCTGCTCCACCTGTATCTCAAGGTCGTCTTTGTCTCGTTTATGGATCTCTATCTCATTATAAAGGTCGGTGATCTTTCGCTCCAGGACGTGTGCGTCTTTCGCATCCATGTGTCCCTTCACAAGCTCATCCAATGCCTTTTGATCCTCATCATCTTCATCTGTCTCACTTATGCATGACCTTCCCCTTGGCTCTTCTGTGTTGTTCTTACGTCTTTGTCCCAACATTGCTTCTAGATCTTGAACAGCAAGGATCAGCTCGGTGTTTGATTCTTGTGTCTTCTGCAGCTGTATCCGTAGACTGGAATTCAGATCCTTTTCGTAATCAAGTTCTTCTAGAAGAACTTGCGGGTCCTTTCCTTCACACTGCAACTTGTTCCTGACTTGTCGCTTGTCAGATGCTTTAATACTCTCACAATCTGCCTTAAGTGAATCTCTCTCCTGCTTCAGACTAGTCACTTCTCTCAGGAGATCCTGACTTCTTTTGGTCTCTTTGACAATTTGTTTCCTCAGGCTCTGCAGCTCTAGTTCCGAAAAATCTGCTCGCCTTGCCAAAGCAACGAGCTCGGCCTTAAGCTTATCTACCTCATCATCCGAGGAAGTCCTTGTTGTGTCTCTCGGTGGAATGGTATCATTTGAACTATTCATTGAGTCATCGGTGCTGATTCCTTGATCAGAGCTTCCTGACCACTCGGATTCTGATATATGAGGCTCTTCAGGATATACATTTGTAACCGAATGGTGATGCATAGTTGTTGGTTGGTTTTGCTGAATGAGATCTCCTCTGCTTCCAAGTTCTCCCAGTGTATCCACTTCAGAGACACTGTCAAAGCTTGACAGTGTACTGTCAGATTCAATGGATGCTCGACGCCTTAGTTCAGCTATCCGGGAAGCTTTACCAAATGGTCCTTCCTATAAAACAGCAGACAAAATAATAGAAACTCTGTAACTTTATGATGCACCAATGACTTGAGAAACCAAGGAAAACGGAAAACTACCTCTTGTGAATCACATTTATGGCTTTCATCTGCTTCAATGCTCGACTGGGAGTTCAAATCTTGACTCCTTGAGCTTTTCACCAAACCATCACTTTCTTTCCCCACTCTGTAAAGCACACAGACAAAAATCAGAGACTCCTCCAAATAAGAAGACTCTAAAAAGACTTGCAAGAAGTCTGAGGGGTGGAGTTTGTTGTACCTTTGCAGATCCACATTTTTTAGCTGCCTTTGTATTGATACCTAATAATGAACAAACAAGCACAGTTCGAAGCTTAGTATCACAGATCCAAAAAAAATAATATTCATAATATAAAGAAGCAAAAATGTTGTGAGCCTTTTACAACTCTAGTGTGTCTCGCTCATGACTAACATTAATGCAAGAAAGAGAGAGAGAGAGAGAGAGAGAGCTAACGTGCAACAATGCTTTTGAAATTGAATTCTGGAGAGTTAGAGAAACGTTGCAAGTCTTAATTGCATCAATGTAATCAGAAAAATCAATGGAAGTCTCTCCCACCAAACCAGACTTTGTAGATCCCTGCAACAGAGAAGGGAAGCTAAGACACGGAGGAAAAAAAATCATTTAACCTGATGAAAGATAAAAGTATTGTCCTCTCCTTACCGTGGTTGAAAGAATAAGATGATAGATTCTTTGATTAACTTTCCCTGTCTTGACATCCTCAACAAACTTCACCGTCTCGTACACCGGAGACTCCCACCGGCAGTGACCGTCGAGAACCACCGCCTTCTCTGTCTTTCCCGTCGGCTTCCCAACATCTCCGGGAACAAGAGAGATCGTTAATCCTTCTCCTTTCAACTCACTCACCTAACAACAAAAAAAAAGAACAATCAAGGATCCAAAAAAATGAAAAAAAAAAACTAAATTCCACTGTTCATTCTCTGGTCAAATCAGATTGTCAGATTCACATTTTTTCTTTTCTCTCAATTTCTGGAAACTTTTTAAAAACTCATTTTCTCAGACAATTTATGTTCCCTCGACTCTCGAGCAAATCAAGAAAGAATTTTACCTGAGTGGCATGAAACTGTAGCTTGAAGACGACTTTGATCTTGTTCTTCTCGCTCCTCCATCTCGCTGACTTAAACATCTTCACCGTCGATTCTTGATCCTTACCGGAGCTCCGGGCATTCTCGCCGAGAGTGAGAAGAACCAGCCATTTTCAACAACACTACGATTACGTCAAGGAGGAAGTAGACGCGCTCCACAAATGTGATGATTTTTATAAACGGGACAAAATATAATGAAAAAATGTTAGATCTACAAATACTTTTACTTCTCTAATTATTACACAAAAATGATTAATTAGTCAATTACTTAGTTAATCTAGTATTTATTGCTTTAGAGTTGGCAACCGATTCTGTTTTCGAGCACGATATAATAGATTTAGGAGAAAATATCATATATTAATGTTTTTATATGTATAAAAAGTTTGTACCGACAGATTTGGAAACAAGATCTTTTATAGTTTTATAATGTCAAGCTAATTGCACTCTACTGAAATTAGCTTCCCTAATCAAAAATCATTGGAGTATTTTTATTTTTTTAGAGCTGCATGTATTGGGTGGAGGGAACAGTGACTTATAAGCATGTAATGACGTATTTGCCCCTCCAGTGACTAGTAGAGTATCCATTTCGTAGGCTGTGTTAGCAGGGGTGATACTGTCAGATGCATAAATATATGCATGCGTCGTTTGTCTTGTCCCGATGATAGTACCAATAAAGAGGCAAACGGTCATCTTTTCTAAAAGGAAATAGTCAACTTTTCTTTATTAATGTCAAATTTTTAATATAATTATAAAGTTTTACTTGATCATCATTTTTAACAATATACTTACTTGAGAAAATAGGTTCTACGGTTTTACCCCACCGATGAATTGTAACCAAAATTTTAAATCATCATTGGACATGGAACATGCGAATTTTAATAAGCTGTGTGACATGAAGACATTATAGTTATTATTTTGTCTTTTCCCTGTACATTCCAATACTTGTTGTGGGGTATATAAGCAGCTGTATAAAAGAAAAGCCCAAACAAATAAAACTTTATAATTTTCTTAATTTAATTCAGATATAGACATTTTTTAGATACTACCAAAAACTTGGTGTCCTCTATGGTGTTCTTCAATTTTTAATTTATTTGTAACCTGAAGTTATATATTTTTTTTTGAAAAGTTTTACCATGTTTTCTTTCAAAACTAACATTAGGATTCACGTATGAAATTTTTATATTTAATTAATCAATCAAATGGGATAAGTTTATATGTCATCTAATATAGTTTACTAATGCTAAATAAATATTTATTGCTAGCGTGTTGGTAGCCTAGTAGAATGTAAATTAATTGTTTTTATGCCCCAAATTTAAATTACCCCTGATATGAAGTCATATTTTTATTGGCTTCATTTTATAAAAATGTCATTTAACGATTTTAATTTTGTTTCATAAAAAACATCATTCTATATTTTCAGTGCAAAATTTGTAAATACTATTTCAGTTTCAATCTTATTAGTTTAATATATTAATTGTATTTGTGTTAATGTATTAGTATAAGACAAGAAAACTTTTAATAGTCTTTTTTTTTTAATATGTGTGAAATTGTAAAAATAACACCTTTTAGAATAGGTGTAAATTGGAGTTTTCAGAACTGATGTTCAGATTTTTGATAAATTATGGACCTGGAACAAAAATTTTATTTAATCAGATCTCAGGTTTAAATTGTCAAAAAGAAAGTATTAGCTTAGCTTACCAAAAAAATATACTTCCTCTGTTTTAATTTAGTTGTTATTGTACACTAAAATTTTCATTTTAAAATAAGTGTCGTTTTATAATATTAGTGCAAAATTTATTGATTTTATCTATTATTATATTTTTATTCGTTGAAATGTGGTTATGTGTATATGTAATTGTGTTCTTATAGAAAATATGCAAAATCAAATGTTTTTTTTAATCTGTGTGCAAAAATTTAAAACGAAAAATAAATTGAAACGAAAAGAGTATTATGTTTCATTTAAAATATTATTTTAGATTTGTACATACATATTAAGAAAACAAATAATTTTGTATATTTTTATATAAAACATAATTATCTATATATATAATCACATTTTAATTAATAGAAAATTAAATTGCATTAGAGATTAAGAAATTTTGCATTCAAAACTAAATAATAGTATTTATTTTGTGATGAAATTTTTTGTTATAATGATATTTAACATGAAATAGAGAATAATACTTTTTAAAACTCGAAAACTATAATGTCAGATACCAGTTCACCAAAACAAATCATAAATGAAGTCACGTAAGCAGTCCCCAAGGACCCCAACCGTCATATACCTAACTGCTTCGTAAAAGGTCTATCTACTTTAATCTGACACCTACCTTCTTCATATGTTTACTCGACATGACACCACATTTTCTCTTTTCTTTTCTGTTGCCATAAATGTTAGACTTGTGTGGGTTCTATAAGGCATTAATCGAAGCAATAAACACAAATATACTCCAAATCTGTGAAACAATTCGAATTGTATTTGTATCATAAACTTGTAACACTTCTTTGGGTGGGTTTTCTTTTCATATCTTCTTTTTACATCTTGATTACATTAATCGTACCAAACCAATCATATTTATATCGATTGCATCGATCAAACCAACTACATCCGTTTTAAATTTGTGTGCGCACTAATCACACCAACTGCATGCAAATCCATATTTAAAAAGATATTTAGATATAATTATACTCTTCTATAAATAGGTTACATCTAAACTATTAAAACAGAAGTACAAATTTAAAATAACCCTGACTTTTTCTAAAGAATTACCATCCTATGCCATTGAATTAATATTTCATTTTTAAAATAAACTAAATCAGAGTAAAACCAAACCGTTGAGTCAATATTTTAAAAGAATCTGTTAACAATAAATATGTTTTCCCAGCCGACGAGTAAAGTTTTTTCTTTTACAAAACAATATCCATGCACGAACAACTATAAAATTATCGGTTGCATTTAACCTTTGTTCATAACAATTGTGTTGTAGAAAATATATTGATAAATTGGCTCTTTTGTGTTGGCAAGTCAAAATTTTGGAAACTTTTTTTTTTTTTTTTTGACAACATTTTGGAAACTAAGAACTCTAAATTCACTTTGTATATAGTTCATTTTTACAACAATTATGATAACTTTCGTTAAATACAATCATATTGGTACAAAATTCAGGTCGCTTAGATTTTGTCAACTTTGAAGGCCATGAAAAGGTCTTATATATATCTAAGACTAAAATCGATAACTACAATCATATTGGTATAGAAATCAATTCGTTTTTGATAAATAATTAACCTAAACTTGATGGTAAAGTTTGAGTATCCAATTCTAATGCGTTTTATTAATTAGTTCATGCCTCATATAATTTCAAAATAAAGATTACGATCTATACAAACAACAATATAAAAACAAACTTATTTCCCACGTAACTTTCATGGAGGCTAATAACTACATTGCCATATATTCATATTTCGAAATTATTTCTAAATTTTCTTAAGCTTTTCTAACGTGTGTCAATATAAGGAATATGCTCAATAAAAAAATTGCAATATTTTTACCAGAAATTACGTTACAAGGAAACTATTACCATAACACACGTATCTCCCACATATATCACCATCCTAATAACTATACTTATCAACTTCACCTTCCTTATTAAAGTTGTTCTATTAATATTGCAAAGATCTTGTAGTATAAAAAGATCTCATACAGAAAAGAACTAAATGCACAAAATATTTATAATTTAAAAAAAAAAATAAATGGTAGATTTATATTATCTTCAATAACTAAATGCAGATAATATTTATAATTTTGTACATTAATAACATAAATTTCACATACAAAAATATACATTTCAAATAATTTAATACTCAAATATTTTTTTATCTAAAGTATTTTAAAATTTTCAAATTATCCTAAAGATCCGAAGAACTTCGAATACTTTTTATCCAAAATATTAAAATTTATCAAAATTATCTGATTTATATTCCGAAAACCCCTAAAATCTGTTTTTACCTCTGATTATTCAAATGAACTGAAAAAATGTAACCAACCATACGAATTAGAACCACAGATTTATCGGATATTTTGGTTTTTATAATTGTTACCCATACCGACCTGAAGCCAAAAGAACCGAACCGGACTCAAACCAAATCTTTTAAATAACTGAACGGTTTTTATATCTTTAGAATCAATAACCAAAAAAAAAAAAAAAAAACGAACCGGAATTGAGCCGAAAACTGAACCTCAGCCTATTACATTCAATATGATAATTATCAAACAACGTTCACCACAATTTCTAGAACACATTAATTACCATGTTTATGAGTTTATAATGACTTATAAGTAAGATGACACCAAGTTAAGATGACACCCGCGCGGACGCGCGGGTCACGATCTAGTTTTTTTTAGAAGGCCTGAATGAATAGGTTACATCTTAAAATTCTTAACAGATATTACTACCATCTGTCTTTTTTTGCCCCATTAGTCCACATTTTCTTCTCTATTTCAAAACTATATGTGCCGGATCAGAAGCCGAGTGGCTGGCTAAGAAGTCTACAGCATTAAACCACCAACATAAGATTATGTATAGTCATTTTCATTTATTATATAGTCTCTATTACATCGATCATACATGTTGGGTTTATAAAACAATTAATTTTTAAAATAAAACGAAAGTAACTATTTTATCCGGATCGAGATCGTGTGATATGCGTTGCAAAAAGGTAATATATTCTTCATCTAACTATCACGTGGATTATCAAAACAAAAATTATGGATTGACAAAAAGTATATCCCATGTTTCCAGAAAAAAGAAACTCCAAGATATTTCATTGTTTCAAGCCTTTCAAAACTAATGGATGATGGATAGAGAACGTTTATCACCTCAACACAAGTACCGAATCAACTACAAATTAAATGCTTGAAACATATATGAAGATAAACTTATTCTTAGTTGATGGCTTGAGAAGTAAGATGAGTATAATTCAACAAATAATTATCCTTTTCACTCCTTTCTCACTTTCAGCATGTGGAAATGAAAGTGACAGTTTCTTTTGCTTTATAAAGCACAAACCCTCGTGATTTCTTTCTGTAAAATGAATAGATGTTATAAATGAATTTCGACATGTATATGTTACGTCATATAAATGTCACTCCTCCTCGAACAGAACTGTTTGCCTAGTACCGCTTAATTAGTTATCGCTACAAGAAAACTCATAATAAGTGAAAACTGTTTTTGTCGTTGTTTCCTCGTAAATGAGACTTTACGAAAAAACAAGGATAAAACGCGAAACCTCGTGACACGTTTTTCGTAACGCATATTTCCTCGCTAAAAACTTGCTAAC